ATATATATATAATGTATTTAGTACAGGGTCTCCAGGGTCTCACTATACAGATCAGACTCATGGTGATCCTCCTGTTTTCAGTCTCCCAAGCCCTGGGATTACAGGCGTGTGCTACCACATGCAGTCTCAATCTTAGTCTCAGCACACTCCAGGGGCAGGGCCAGCACAGCACACTGGGGATTGAACCTAGTATGATTATAAATTTGATAGCCACATCGTTGACAATGGTGAGGAAACTCGTCTCAGTATATGCTGGTCTTATGTACTGTTATACTTCCCTCTGGTAAAAGATATGATAAAAAATTCTAGGATATAAGAATTTCCTTCACTTAGAAAGCAATAAACTTCAAAATAATTTCTGGTCTCTTCTGCAAAGTTTCTACATTTGTGGGCACACACATAAAGTATCAGAATAAAATTATTTTATGTTAAATTAAGTTTAAAATATGACAAATTTTTCCAAGGGAGTTAGTTCCAATCTAAATTCTAATTGAGAATACCAGGAAAAGAAAACTTTAAATTAGATTTTAAATGAAATGAAAAAGCATGATTTTCCATAATTGAAGTCCTTAGAGCTTGAAATACTAAGAACCAGTAACTTTTAGAATTCAAAATTCAAATACTCTCGTGAAAAGTATTTTATTTCAATCTTATAACTTTCATTGAGACAATGAATACTGAATGTTTGAATGAATAACATGATTATTGAATGCAAGCCAATGTATCTAGTCTGTAGATTTTTCAATTGAACAAGAACTCAGTAATCAACATTATTAAGTATAGGAATAGTTAAAAGAGACTGCTGAAGAACTGAAGATTAGCTCTAGTGAAAAGCAGCTAAATAATCCATTCAAATAATTTATTCAGTTCAGAAAAAGGGAATAAATAAACCTGCTAGGATAAGAGGCCAAATACCAAGATAAGATATTTTGCAGAAGGCACAGAGTAAGCTAGGTATGCTGGTACACTCTGCAATCCAAGCAGTCTGGGAGGCTGAGGCAGGAGAATGGCAAATTTGAATACCAACTGGGCAACTTAGTGACTTAGGGAGCAGACTGTATTTCAATATAAAACCTAAAAAGACCTGGAGAAGTAGTTCAACGTGAGGGCCCTGTGTCAAAATTGAAAAAAAAAAAAACCCCAACTAAGTTTATAATTGATTATTGATATCTCTTCACGTCTAATGAGTAATTCCATGTACTTTTTCTTCAGATACTGGGAATTGAACCCTGGGACTTCATACTGAGTTATATTCCAAGTCAATAAGTCTGTTATTTATTTATTTATTTATTCATTTATTTACTTATTAGAGAGCTAAGTTGCCCAGGCTGGGTTCAACTTGTGATCCTCCTGCCTCAGCTTCCCAGATTTCTGGGATTACAGCCATGGACCACAGTCCTGGTGAGCTTTTACTTCTATTTGCTTTGATTTTAATTCACATCTATGTTTGGTCACAATAAAGAAAATATTAACAGTTAGCAACAATTGGAAATAGAAAATTAAATTATCCTTTCTAAAAATACCTGTCTTTATGGAGCCACAGAGGAACGTGTTCGATGATGTATAGTGTGCCTGGGGAGAATCACATGGAGAGAAAAAACATTCCCTCAGGCTTTCACAGAAAGCAAATTGGTCAAGCAATGGCCGTAACTCATCCACATGGCTGACACTGACAAAAGAATGTATAAAAGGCGGTACAGGGCTACAGGATAAATCCTGAGGGTACTTGACTGACCTTATTAGATACAAAAGTTACATTTTTTGTTATATAGGTCTTGCTTTATCTTGGTCTTAACCATCCAGCAGAAAAGTATAAAAATGAGGTATATAAAGTAAAGCCATATTAATACGATGAGCTGTAAAAGGCTCAAGTCAATATGTGGGATTACTCATTAGACATGAAGAGATATCAATAATCAATTATAAACCTAGTTGTGGTTTTTTTTTTTTTTTTTTTTTTTTTTTTTTTCCAATTTTGACACAGGGTCCTCATGTTGAACTACTTCTCCAGGTCTTTTTAGGTTTTATATTGAAATATGGTCTTCTCCCTAAGTCACTAACTCAAGTCAATAACTTCTAAGGATAACCCACTAATATTATAGACTGCTAGACAGTGTTAGATTGTTCAGTTGAATTCAAACACCTATAGTATTTAGATGCCAATAGAATATTCATCTCTGACAGACAATAAATAATGATACAGAGGAAAGATCATTTTGTATTTATATATACAAATTAGGATAAATTTACAGTTACTTTCGCTTAATTCAAAGAGAAGAAAGAGGTATACTAACAGTGTTTGGACAGGATATCCTGTCTGCTTCTTGTACTATGTATAACCACTAAGAAGATAACAATGTACAATGTATTGATTATCAAAACTGTCCTATTAATCAGCTGTGAAGCTGTCTTATTCATATTTATTTCTCAATAAAAAAAAATCTCTCTTATAATGAACCTCACTAAAAGATCTGGGCCTTATAAGCTTTTTCATCTTCCAAAATCCAAGCTGATTGCACCCCTCCCCCATTATGCTCCATTTAGCTATCATTACAGGCATAAGGACTGAGCTCGCAAAGGCAAGCTCAACGAATGATCAGCACATCTTCACAGATGGCCACCAGGTCAGTGGGACCACACTGCCTCTCTCCCAGGTGCTCAAGGAGTGGTGGCTTTTCTTACTGCCCTGATCAGAAGAGCTACAAGTGTTGTGGATCTGGAAAGTTATTCTTTGTCCTATCCAGCAGACTCACTCCTCAGAGGACCCTTTCTTTTCTGGGAAATTACCTGGGATTTTTCTATGCTGGCCCGATCAAAGCTTGCTTTAAAACATAATTCACTGGACTTGATATTCCTTGTCCTGTTTTTACTAAACCAAAGTGAGACTTAAAACATTGTCCCCAGTAAAATTCATATCTCATCAACTAAATTTTAAAATAGAAAATCTATTTTAAGACATACATATAAAAGTCTTTCCAACTGCTAGGGCTCATCTCCCAGAAATACCAGTGATAGAACGTGTGACTTAAAAATTTTAGGTGATGACTATACGGTACACCTATGAACATAAACTTTAGAACTTATGAGTATGTTTTATCTTTAGGAAATAAAGCCCTTAAGATGATCATGAACATATTGAAGCATGAAGCTTATTATTGAAATTACTGACTGTAATTTTGTGGTTTTGTTTCAATTTTTAAATTTTTTATAAGTGCATGTTTGCAGTACGTAATGATTACATACATAGCAGGGAGTTTGTACATGTGCATAATATATTTTCCTTAGTTTTATTGCTTTTAATTGTAATTTATAAATACTTGCTTAACAGAAGCTTGTTATTCTATCCTTCTCTCCTATTTTCAGGATACAGTCATGCCACATTGTAGCTATGCAGCATTAGGCAACTTCATCAGGCAAACAATATTCTTATTTAAACTTATGCTAGATGTATAGGACAATCACATGACGTCGCCTCTTGATGCAATCAAGAGGGGCAGTGAACTTGAAATGTATAAAGCTGCTGCTAGTGTAATATAGAATACTATTTTACAGCAAATATTTTTAGAAGTAGAAGAATACATCCCCAAATAGTGGAAAATTATAAATACCTAAACCAATAACACAGTCATTTATCATCCTTACCAATTGTTACGCATTATACCTAACTGCATGTGCTACCTATTTTTATACAACTGGAAGAGCACTAGATTTGGATACATCACCATCAACCAAAGAATGAAGTAATTTGTTGCATTACGACCTTAATAAGGCTAAACTGTCACTAAGTGACAGGAAATTCTCAGCTCTGTTACCTTAAGGTGCCACAGTCACACACGCTGTCTGTCCGTGAGCAAAACATTACGCAGCACATAACTGAACTGGGAAGTTTTCTGTTTTGCGTTGGCTGATATACAGGCTGAAAAGCATTGTTTTCTATGCCTGTGACTACAATCAGATGCTTATGCTTTTCTGATTTCTTT